CTGAAGCTCCTCGAGCCTCTTGTGTTGAGTCATCTGACGATGCAGAAGCGTCAGGTATATTTATCACAAAATATAACGTAGCTACTTCAGAAAACGTGTTAATACGAATTCTACCATCGATAGTACGCTTGAGACGGGATGGAAAGGAAGCGGTAAAAAAAAACACTCGAAACGTGGGTAGAACAGGTCAGTTAAAGCGTAGAGAAACTGTACGGAAGAAAACTTCAAAATATCTGTCTGGCCATTGTAACAACTCAGCTTCAGCGGCAAGTATTAGCTTACAACAACCATATACTCAGAAAAATACTTTTTTGAACAATGTTGAATTAATATTCAACAGTCTTCACCGGAAAGTTTGGGAGACAACGTAAAGCATTGAGTATTAAAGACCTAGCACTTGACAGGCGGATCCACACCATGGACAGGTACTAAGAGAACGTAAAAGTTTCATTGCAATTATCAGCCATTTCGTTTTGATGACGGATGGCATAATATACAGAACGGCTACAACCTAGCAAACTCATCTAAAATGAGCAGTGTATTTGCCAAAACGGACAGAAACGGATTTTAGCGCTCTCACAATAACCAAATCTTCAGACCTCAAAAACGCTAATCTCGACAGGACGTGCTGGAAAAAAAAAGATCTGCTACGCCGACGGGTTGTCACCTCATCTACAAGATTCAACTGTGACTGAAACCTCGCAGGAGACAAAAAGACAAGCGAGCACCACCATTCTGTAGACATTGCCTGTTTACGGCGTCCATTTAAGCAATCAATTGACTCAGTATTTGAAAGAACTACAGACTCTGGACAACAGTGCTACTAACTACAAAACGCCACACAATCCACTGCCTTGGATATTCCTAGTCGGCCACACACTTCAACACTGGGGAGAGGTTTATTATCAGCATAAACAAATTCGCGCAAGTCGCCGTACCTACGCCTAACTTGCTGTGGATATGGTGAGAATCGACGTTCGAAAAGATAATTAATGGATTAATGACGAGCTTAGTTGCCGTTCACTACTGCATTAATTGGGAGGTAAAGAGAAGATTAAACGGAATGGCACTATTTCGGTCTTTTGAATAGTGCAAAGGTGCTCTGAGCAAACTTTACACACGCAGATACCCACTAGCAACACATGCGCCTGGACACGCCTACGTGTTTTGATAAGAAATGCAGTGATATCATTAGCCGCTTTTATTCATATAAAGATTTCTGTCCTCTGTATATTCTTTAAACCCTAACCATATGAACTATGCTTAATCTTTGGGCACAATGAGGATACAGTAAATCAAAAGGTTTCAGCTGGCTTCAAGTCTAGAGGAGTCAGCGTTTCTTACGATTCAAGCTTTTATGGAGATTTTAAATAAATAAATATGAATAGTAAAACAATACGAAATATGGACGGTTGAGACTGCGCCAAAGAGTTCGATACATGGACGAGTTCGATACATATGTTCAAGCAAGTACTGCTTCACGACGCTTAAAGAAACCATTCATGAAACAACGTGTTATATATACATAATGAATACCTTTTGAACATTTTCGTCGAATGTCTTTCCGGTGCTCTCGAAAGTTTTAGTTAGCATATTGCGAACGTAATCCACAGCCAGGTCTTGCGGAGAGCGACCAGAGGGCTTAAACTCCGCCGCATCTGGATTTAGTCTTGATCCGGTGTTGTCCATTATGTCTAGGAAGAGGTGGGAATCATTACGTGTTTAATGAAACAGATGCACCGGTCATGAAAAAGGGAAAGAAAAAGAAGAAAGCCAGTTTATTGTGAGCACAATACACAGATCAGATATTATGCCTTTGGGGATAGGGGTTAAGTAAAGAGTGACGTGATTCTTGTCAAAATTGCTTAATTAAACCATCTAACGTTAACGAAAGTCATCGGCAGAGAACATTCCTTTGGCTCGCTTGAGAATGGAGTCCTTATTTGAGTCATATGGATGATCCTTGCTTGGTATTTCCAAAATCGCTGGAATCGGACTGGTATGGGAGTCGATTAAGTGTCTAATGATTTCTGCGACATTTTGTACGATGAGTATAATCGCTATGTCCTCTCGCTTTATAAATGACAAAAAGGCCTCTTCGATTTCCCGTAGAGGGGTATCCTTATCAACAGCAAGGAAGTTTGGACGTCGATTTTTGTCCAATTCACCAATTCCACCTAAAAGAAATCCTGTGCACGTGTCTTCATCACCGATAACTGCGATCAGACGACCCCTGGCACCTGCAATGGCCATCCCAGAAATCAAACAAAACGTCTTCATTCACAACCAATAGAAATTGTGCAGGTTCAAATCAAAATGTTCAATGAAATCAGAGTTCGTAAACAGTTTTTAAGCCATACAGGCGCATGACTCCGGACCGACGATTTCAAGACCAGACACTCAGATCCCAGAAAAGCAGACATATTTAGGTGATATTTGTTGTGCGGGGATCACCGTCGAAATGAGTATTTTACGACGTCGTCGAACTCTGGAATTTAGCGGATTGCGATTGGGACAGCAAGGAGATCGTGGCTTGGCGCCTAACCTCAC